GAGTAAAAACATTATTGAACTTTAGTTTAACTAAAAATTTTGTTTCAAATAAATGGCTAATCCATAACATTTAATTCAATAAAATGGAAATAAATGACTAGCCCAACTAATTAAAATATATATTTCGATCAAAAAGTCATAAATTTGAATGCATACCTATGTTGTACTGAAAGAAGAAAGAAGAAAGTTAAAGATGTAAAAAAAAACAATGAAAACGGAAAAAAGGAAACAATATAAAGAAAGAAAAAAATTAGCAAATAAAAGTTGAGAATGAGAGAGGTGGAAGAGTAATAAATAGGGAAGAATATCCAATTAAATTAAGAGAGAAAGTGAAATATCGGAATAAATATTACTTCTAAATATGTGGACCCCACATAAAAATATATATATTTTTTATTTGTCATAACAATAAAGATATTTTACATGTGACAATTTTTGAACGAGAGGAGTATGGAAATTCTCCCTAGGGGAGGACTAGAAAATTTTCCGCATCTGAGTTGGGGTTCAGGTCCATGTGTCAGGGCGAGAGTGGACCGAAGCTCCTAACTTAAGAAAACTAGGTATGTAAATACCTCTGCGGGTGGTGCTTTACCTGGAACAGCGTCTGAATCGACTGGCGATATCCCTGCTACTGATGATACCCCCCTCCAGAAGAGATTTCCATTTCACTCTTTCTCCCACTTATCATCTCTCTGTGGGACTTGTTCCCTCTTCAACTCAGCGCTTTATAGATAGGCATTTTTATTGATCCTGTTTCCGTGCCTCTCCTCCTYCCCCCCCTAAACTGATTAGAAAAGAAAAAAGCCCCGCTTCCATTGGGGCCCCTCTCTGATAAGGAAATACATCTTTGGTATCGTCAAACCTACAATATAACCGTTATGAGCGGTACGTTTCAACCAATTAAACTATAAGCCCCTACGGATCTCTACATGCAATTCGCTCACTTCGGGAAGAGCGGACGGAAAGAGGAGGCCTTTGCTTTATTTGCTTCTTCCTCTTCCTTTAATGAAAAATGAACAATTGGAAAAACGCCAATCTTTGAGAATTTTGTCAGCATCTAATTGTTTTCAAATGGATCAAATAATATTTACAAAATTTAGTTTTTGTCTAAGAATTGTTTACAAAAGAAAAAACTCTTAATATATATTATAAAATAGTATGAAAATCAAAAAGACTTTAGAGAGAAACAACAGATATTAAAGACTTTTTTTCTAATTAAAATTATGTGAGTTTATTTTAGCATTACAGTGATATATTTGTGCATTAATTAGACTTTAAGGTACAAAACTTATTTTCATTCAAATTAATGAGTTTGGAGAGATTTTTAACTTACTAATAATCCTAACTTCTAAATTTAAGGTTAAATTTGGTGAAATAGAAAATTTACAGTAGAATTTATATATCTTTCTAAGTGAACATAGTTCAACAATAATTGATATATATTTTCAATCTGTCGAGAGTTCCATCACTGCCTCATGTTCAACTAATATATATATATATAATATCTTTTTTTTCCAAAAGAATAAACATATTTCTAAAAGAATGTGTCTAAATTTATTGATAGTCACTCACCCAAATATTAAAATCAGGTTTCTCATTTCATTTAGATTAAATAATTGATTACCCAAGATTAGTCTATGAAGCCTCACTAATAAAAAGAAATAAAAAATAAAAAAACACACATTGTGAGGTAGAAAAATAGAGTTCAAACTCTAGCAAGTGACACGTAGTCGTTTTCACATTATTTTAGATCAGATTTTTTGGCTGACATTTGACCATAAAGCTGCCACTTTTGCCTCTTCATTTTCCGTATAAATTTCTCCAACGGGTAAATGAAATTAGGTCAAATTACCAGATTTCTAAGACGCGTAAATAAAGTAGGTTAAATTATAAATTTCATCAATCTAATTTTAATTTGGTATCATAATTTTAAAAGTTTCGCTTTATTTCAATTTGGTTATTATAGTTGTATTTTAAACCTTTTAATTTAGTCTCTACCGTTTAATCAAACGTCACAAATCATCTTTATTGTTACCATGGTGACATTTTTTATAACGTGACAATGAGTTCGTGTTTTCTATTTGGCTAATTATATGTTCCTCGTTGTACGAGACTTTAGAGTTAAGTAAAATATAGAAGAATATATACGAGACTTTTGAGCACATACAAGATAATTTTAGGGATCGTAGGTTTAATCAAACCATAGAGATCAAATTAAAATTTTAAAAAGTATAGGAACCAAACTGATACAAATCTCAAATCATATGGCCACTAAATTGAATTTCTTTTTTTTTTTTTTAAACACACTAAATTGAAAATTTTAACTATGCCTAAACTATGTAGACCAAATTTGTAACTTTAAAAAGATAATTATACCAAAGTTTTCAACCATCGTTACAAGTTATTTGTAAGGCTAAAGTTGACAAACCAACTTCTTTAATGTAACCTTTACTGGGGACATGATATCTATGTCCTAGAATTAAAGGTTTGAATTCCTACTCCAACGTTATTGAATTACAAGAAAAAGTCGTATTGGTCGAAAAATATGAAGTTAAGTTATTTGGCTAATTAGTGGTTGAATATTTGTTACTTGTTACCAATTATCATGGACATAGGGTAAATTCTATAAAAAAGTAAAAGGATAGAAACTAATTGGTTAAAACAACATTAACTAACCAAGAAAATAGATTGAATAAAGCTAGTCATCTTGAAAATATCTCTTGTATTTTACAATATATAATAGAAACTAAGGTTAAAAGTATTTCTATAAATATAACTAATCAAGAAAATTCTTTTGAATAAAACTAAGTGTATATATATATGTGTGTGTACGGTTGACGGTGAGTTTTGGAGAGGTCTACGTGTCTTTTGGAAGGGGCGTCTTTGGACGAACAAACCTGCAACAACGATCCTCGACACCGATGCGATGTCCTACCTTGGAGACTCTGACGATCAAGTTAGTAATCAAAGTAAAAGTAGCAGATAACACTTTAAGGAATTAGTGATAGATCATGGTGGTGGTTGTGGTTCTTCCCTTTTGTAGGTGTCCATGGCTGACTAGGGAGGAAGCATTGCATAGGGTACAACGATGTTGTTCATCGAACAGGGTGCAAAACAGTCAGGCAACGACATTCTAGGTGCACGACAAGCGCTCCGCCACTTGCCAATCTATCCTTTATGCAGACTATCATTTGCACGGTGCGACGCGTCCCCTGTATCGCATAGCAAGTGTGCAGCCTTCGTTTTCCTCACTCGTACGATTCGCATCTTCGATAACCTCACTTCCAACTGTCACTCCTCAAATCCTCACACAAAACGTCATCAGACTTAGATTTCTCCCTCAACAAATATATATATATACACAGATATATATATACGTGTGTGTGAATAAATAGTATTCAACTTTTTCAAAATAATAGGACTGTTTGATGGGGGAAGGAAAATACTGTTTTCAGAAAATAAAAAAAAAGGTAAATTATTGAGCTTCAGCTTCCCAATTATTAATAGACAAGAATATTAAATCCCTACTGAGCAGTACAGAAGTTTGTTTCTTGCTTTTCCCCCTTAAAAATTTGGCAACTATTTATTACCTAAAAAAAATTTCTCTCGTTTTTTTGTTTTTTCTCTCTCTAAATTTAATAATGAGCAGTAAGAATCTTCCACAATCAAATTATCCAGAAAATATTTTTTGACACATAATAAGAGAATGAAAATACTTTTTCTTGCATACCATTCAACTTTTTAGAAAAATGTATAAAAAAGAGATATTTTTCATTTTTCTTTCATTTTAAAGAATTTAGTAGTGGCAGTAGAAATGGAATAGACCGTTAGAGCCGCCACAAAAATTTTTAATCCCTACCCAGCATAAAAAAAAAAATCATCCTATCTACCACCATTAAAAATATTTATAAATTTTAAATGATAGTTAGTAAGGAGCAAGGTTTTAAATATCAACATCGAATTCTCAATTTGAAGAAAATATCAATAAAAATACGATAAAATGTCTAAAATTAGAAAAATTAGAAAATCATAAAAAATATTTAAGTTAACAATAAACATTTTTCTATTTCTTTTTTTGAGTTAAAAACATTTTTCTATTTCTAAATAAGTTAAAAAAGATTAATATTAATATTATGGATATATTAGTAACTTTTTATTGATATTTTTCATACTTTTATCTATTTTTTTGTACGATTACGAAAATGTCGATTTATTTCTCGTATCAATGTCGAATCCATGGATTTATAAACATATAATTGTTTATATGGATATTTAATATCATCGTCCCATGTGATAGTATAAATTTGTAATTTATGAATTTTTTTTCTTTTTATAAAATTTTAATTTTTATATTTTACTTGTATTTTGTAAAAGGGTATAAATTTTTTTTTTTCCAATAAAAAAGATAGCTGAAGATATATATATTCAGCTGTGGAGTTGAGAGTTTGAATTTTTGAATTTAACTTGACTAGAAAAATAAATTTATTTTATTATTTTATATTAATTTTATTATTTTTTCTCTTGTAATTTTAACAAAAACCGATCCCCGGCCAGCTGCTCTAACCAGCGGCTGTGGCCTCTTCAAGTCTCTGCAACTACACATTCATTAACTTCATCTTCTTCATCCTCTCTCTCTATCCTCTCTCCAATGGGTCCCCTCATTTTCTCTCTCCTCCTTCTCCGCCTCCTCTCCCTCGCCGCCGCC